TCCGCAAACGGATAACGAAAACCTACGTGAGACTTTCTCCCAGCTGTGTTGTGCGATTCAGCTAGATGTTCCGCCAGTGGGCGCAGTTTTTCGTCTGCCCAGCAAAAACAAAAATACTGCTGCCCCGTAGTAGTGAAGTTACGCTCTTCTGCCGATCGTTCCGTGCTGTTTCGCGCAGCTGCGCGCTTCTGCAAATCTGCACAGAGGTCAATACTGCTGCGCGACATCGGACACGACTCTGACGGGCGAGTAGACATTCATGAGAGTCTCACTAAGCACAGACGTGACATCATGAAGTCTGCTATGCAATTGAAGAGGCAAAAACAAATAATGTCTGTATTCTCAATTCGCGGCAATGTCTATGTACGAGTTCGTCCCAACAGCAATGCAGTGCAAGTATCCAGCAATGAAGATCTTCGTCGGATTGCAGCGACTGTTACGTGAGCGTTAATTTGTGTCACGCAATATATATGTATACGTTTCTTATGTTTTTAATATTAGTAATTGAGTATATTAAGTATGTTTATATTTTTTTCTATCTCTCCAATTCTTCTCTTTCTGCTGACTCTCCTTACATAAGTGACATAAAATCTGCCTTCAACCTTACTCTTCTTCGTCTACCCATGCAGTTTCTCTTGAGAGGCAGAGTCCGCTCTCTCAGTACTAATGTCTCTGAAATTTGATGATTGCTGTCGTTCCATAGGCAATACATTTAATATGATTCGCATTTTGGGCAAACAAAGGAACGGACTAAAAGTCTGTCATTTGAATGCTCAAAGCATATCAAACAAAATTGACGAATTCAGATACATATTTGAATCTTCTAATGTCGACGTGGTGTGTATATCTGAAACTTGGCTCTCCTCGTATTTGAGTAATGATTTGTTTGGTGTGAATGGCTACAAGCTATTTCGTTTAGATAGAGTTGGACATGGTGGTGGGGTGGCTATGTATGTTAAAAATGGACTTTCGTGCAATGTTAAATGCGCATCCCCTAAAAATAACAGAATTGAATATCTTTTTGTCGAAATCTTATCCAAAACTGATAAAATTCTTCTAGGCTGCATCTACAGACCTAATAAGAACATAGCCTATAGTGAATTTATCGACTTCTTAGAAGATATCACCCTAGGTTACAACAACATCATTATCACTGGGGATTTTAATTGTGATTTACTCAGCGACACAAATTTTTCTCTGTCCATGCTGAATATTGGTCTGTTCCCCATTAATTGCTTAACACCTACACACTTTACTCAAACAAGCAGCACCCTATTGGACATTTTCTTCGTTAGCGTGAAGGCAAAAGTACTTCTCTATGACCAACTTTCTGTACCGAATTTCTCTAAGCACGATCTAATTTTTCTTTCCTACGACTTTCATTTTGTACATGACAAGTATTCATACTCATATCGTGACTTCACTCGAATTAATTATGAGCAACTTTCGGTAGCTGTCGATACAGTCAATTGGGGTCACGTTCGTGACATGGCATCATCGGAAAGTCAAATTGATTTCCTTCAGACACATATAAAGTCCCTCTTTGACCGGTTTGTACCACTTGTAACGAAGCGAAACGTTACTCAAACTCGCCCCTGGTTCAACGCTTACATTCAAAACTTAATTGAAAGTCGTAACGTAGCGTACCGAAAATGGAAGCAACAAAAAACGGAAATGCTCTACAACGAGTACAAAATTAGGAGGAAAACTGTTACGAAAGCCATCAAGAAACAAAAATTGAAGTATTATGAGTTCAAGTTCAGTACTGCCGTCGGCTCCAAGCAGACTTGGAAGCAGGTGCGTGAAATTGGAATTGGCAAACAAAATAACCCCATTACCGAACCTGTGAATGTCAACGATATAAATGAAAAGTTTGTTAATTTGTCTGCTCCGTGTAATAATATTTGTTACGAGCTTTATAACACTCGTACAATGAATATTTTGCCCAGTTTTTATTTTGAATGTGTAGACGAATGTGATGTTGTCCAGTCAATACTTGATGTTAAATCTAATGCCGTTGGGTTCGACGGCATTCACCCAAAATTTCTTAAATGTCTCCTCCCCAAAATTCTTCCTTACCTTACGCATGCTATGAATGCCGTCTTGACCACGGGTGTTTATCCAGCGTGCTGGAAGAGAGCCAAGATCATTCCCATTTCCAAACCCAATGGCGATTTTCGACCAATTGCTATATTGCCCTTCTTATCCAAGGTACTGGAGCGCTTAGTGCATCGACAAATTAACTATTTTTTGAGTCGTAATTCTCTTTTGAGCGTACATCAATCAGGCTTCAGGACTAATAGAAGCTGCGTCACCGCACTATTAAAGGTCTCAGATGATATAAGGCAAAACATGGACATAAATCATGTTACCTTCTTAACTCTACTCGATTATTCTAAGGCTTTTGATACTGTTGACCCCAAACTTTTATGTTTAAAACTAAAAAACTTGTTTAATTTCTCGTCACCAGCGTTGGACCTAATTAGTTCGTACCTAAGAAATCGATCACAAGCTGTATGTGTTGGAAATGATAAATCTGAATTTTTGTCCACGTCTAGGGGTGTTCCACAGGGATCAATACTAGGTCCGCTGTTATTTGTGCTGTATATTAACGACTTACCCAAAATTTTGAAATACTGTGATATTCATATTTATGCCGACGATGTCCAATTGTATGTTAGCTGTCCCTTTGCGTCAATCAATGTCTGTATTCGTAACTTAAATTTTGACCTCGAACGTGTTAACGACTGGGCTAGAAATAACGGATTAGTAATTAACCCAAACAAATCTCAATGTATTCCAATTTATAGACGACACTTCGCACTTGATGAACATCACAAAATAATTTTCAACAATTCAGTGATAGATTTTGTTGACACTGCGAGAAACCTAGGAGTAATATTTAACAGGACGCTGACATGGAACAATCATATTGCCAGCATAACGGGAAAAACATATGGAATGCTTAGGTCCTTATGGATCACTCAGTATTTCACACCAGTAAAAATTCGACTGCTGCTAGCGAGAACCTTTTTACTACCGACAATTTTGTATGGATGCGAGCTGTACGCTAACTGTGATAGTGTGTGCAAGAAAAAACACAATACTCTTTATAACAATATCGCCAGATATGTTTACGGAATTGGACGCCGCGAACATATCTCTAAATATAGCACTAAGATCATGGGTATATCTTTTGATAAACTATTGGAGCTAAAATGTCTTATGCTACTTCACAAAATCTTAATCACCCAGGAGCCTAGGTATCTCCATGAACGATTACAGTTTCCCCGATCGCAACGAGCACTCCAAATTATTTATATTAAATACAATTGCCTCAAATCTGAACGTCAGTTTTTTGTTTTTGTTATCCGTCTTTGGAACGCTTTACCTCTAGCAATCAGAACCATCAGGAGCGCTCTGCCCTTTAAGAGAGAATTGCATCGGCTCTTTGCTCAGGCGTAAGCCAACTGATCGCAGTTTTTTTTGTCATTTTCCTACCTTATTCCTGTCTTTTGTCTTATTCTATTCTCAAATACCTAGCCTCTTTCTACAATTTTCCTCTCCACTATTTATATCATGTCTTATAATTAATGCGACTCTTCGTTTTCGTTTTCAAATAGCAAGTAAGTTACTAGTTAAATTATTAAATGCATTTGTGCTTAGCCATGTAATCCTAACATCTAACACTTGAAAGTAAAACCACCGGGTTGTTGTGTTAGATTTGTACCGTAATTGAAATAAAATAAATAAATAAAATAAACGCTCTTTTTCATTAGCCAACGCAAAAGTTCTTATTAGGGGCGCCGCGAAGTAAGCGGGCATTGGCTAGTATATTTATAATAACACAAGTTACACTCACGTAACTACTTTCGCTTGAAAATTTTTTGACAAAAAACAAACTTCAATTTTTAATTTATAATTTATTGCCGCTTTTATTTTAGTGTACAACCTCACTACTCAAATGTCTATATCGGATTGATTCAACATTCGTTATTTCACTCGTATTCATGATGCAATAATTAAAGGTGGTATACGTAGTGACAGATTGTTTCGACGACTCCCCTAGCTCAAGGTTCTATTTTGGAAGCATACGAAGCACGAGAGAAAAGGGAAGAAAAAAAGGTCGGTTTGCGAAATAGTATTAAATTTAGTACTTATTTTCATATCAAAGTATTAAATGAAAATTTGTTTACTAAGTTTAAATAAAAATGATTTACATAGTTTTGGAAATACTTTTAAGTAAGTGGTTAGTAAATTTAAGATTCGTTGCTGCATTAGTATATCTTATTACATTAAACGAGCAATTCTTGTATATATGTATATGTATATCCGTAGCGTTCTCGGAAACGGCTCTAACGATTTTGATGAAAATTTTTACCCAGATAATGTCTTGGGTTTTAAGGCTATCTGAATAGGCAATATCTCCGAGAAGACTTGTATAATGTTCCCACCTATTCGAAATTAGTTACAAATTAATTAAAACATCATAATATGGGTATCAAATGGAAGGTATTTTAAAGATCCCTAATTCAAAAATATTTTAAATAGGGTTGCTACCTATTTTGAATCACATATTTATTTAATTTTTTGTTTAGAAAAAAAGGTAAATTAAATATTACTATTCATGGGTACCAAGAGAAGGTTCTTAAACAATTCTTTCCCTATATGGGCGAAACCGAGAAATAGTCAACCAAAATCGCAAAAAATGCATGCAATTCGAATTCTCTATTTTCGATTCTACATAATTTATCTAAAACATCTCAATATGGATATCAAATGAAAGGTATTGTTGAGAACTTTGGTCAGAAAATATTT